GAGGAGAGCACAACATAAATCAAACTAGGATTTGCCTTGAAATGTTTATTCTTCATTTATGTACCAATGACTGTGTTACAGCACATGGCCACTCATGTCATAATTCCTAAATCCTTGTCAGAAGGTGTGATCTTAACCCTGATCAGGAAGGAGGGCCACAGGAAGCCGAGCCCGGAGGACCGCATGCTTGAGGACAGTCTGGACTACGTATTGCGAGAGAAAGAGGAATGATATCCAAGGTGTTTCTCTGAGTCAGGATGAGAACCAAGCCAGTGAGAGAGAGAATCTCACATCCACAAGCAGACATAATTGAGCACGACAAGGGGAAGGAAATGAACTTGCTTACTTTGTGGAGGAGCTCACAGGGCACGCTAAAATATCTGGGGTGCACCAGAATTTAGAGCATTGCCCATCCGATCTGTGCAGATGATATTCTGAGAAATACCCTGTCCTCTCCGCTGTGCACTGCAGATAGCTCTTGCCGTCGTGTTTTATTGTAACAGAACACTCAAGTGTCTGGGTAATTACAACAAAACATGTGTGTTTAGTTGCATCTTCTAGAAGCTGGGAAGTCCGAGGCCAAAGGGCTGCATCAGGTGAAGAACCTCTTGTTGGTGGAGACAGCAGAAAGAGAAGACCCTGTAACCATGCCACTAACCTCAGAACCTGTTAATCTACCCCTCGGTGCTGTGTCTGCAGGACCCAAATGCCTATTCCAGCCTCATCTGCTCTGAGCTTCTGAGCCCTCACACCAGGGATTCAGGCTCATCCATCATGAGCAACCCTGGTGAGAAGCAACTGTGTAATCAGGAGAAGCTCCAACAACTAAGTTAAGGAGGATCAACTCCTCTGGACCCAGGAAAAGGCCTCTGCAGAGCACAAGCCTGCACTCAGAAGAGTCAGGAAGGACGGCTTCCACAGCCCATTTGTTTAACACAAAGAGCGTTTTGTCTCCTCCTGTTCTAAGTACCTGGTTCTAAGAGCATTGCACGCTGGCAGGCCGGGTGGCAGGATCCACTAAAATAGACTTTGTGAAGTTCCCAGACCCAAGTGGATGGGATGTGTTTGCAGTGGTAGATGAAGCAAAGATACCTTTAAGAGTCAGTACCTTCCTTGAGATCTAAAAGCATTCTGGTTACACATTTTGCATAATGTAGCCACTCTTCTTTAAAGTAGAACATTGTTCAAAGGGTAAATTATTAAAATACTAAAACTGGGGAACCAAACGAAGTTAATTCCAGTCCTGAGATCTCATATTCCTCTTAACTTGCAGTGATGCGGATATTGGCTTCCAAAGATTTTGGTTCCCCCTCCTGCCTCCACCTTTATTTTTATTTATTATTATTACTATTATTATCATTCTTATTATCCTTTCTGTCTTTTTCCCTTTGCCAATAGATGATTGCTTATTCGTGTCTTTATGGGGTTTGTCTTTGCAAATATCATAAAAATGTCATGAAGAATAGAAAGAGGAAATAGGAAGGATGCAGCATTTGTTTGCAGACAGAAGCTCCCTTGTTAACTTTTATGTACTTTGAGTTTACTCATTTTCGTAAATGCATAATAAGATGGTTTCATTATTCCTTGACCTTTCCAGGCTCGGGTTTATCCACTTCATTCTCTGAGATATTGTAACTCAGGAAATGTCTTTCTTTTTTTTGGTGGTGGTGGTGGGGGGCGGAGAATACTCAATGCATGCATTTGAAGTCTTCAGCTAGAGGGTGACTTTTGACATTATTGCCCAATAAATTACAATTATATGTGAAGTTGCTTTTGTTTGGCCCTGTTATGTTGCAGATGGAGTGGATTCATGGGTATGAAACCTAAAGGAAAGTATTAAAATGCAAAAAGAACTGTTTCCTCTGGGGAGAAAGCTCCAACACATTTCTTTCCAATTTTGAATTAAATCTGCCGTCCACATATTTTGCTAAGCCTGATCTAGCTTCTTATTATTTAACTTTTTGAAGTATTTCAGAATAAAAAAGTTTAGAGAGTCATATGAGAACCATTCATAAAAGCAACACCCACTGTACCTCGTGTACTAAAGATAGGGGTTTAAATTATATTGTTTAAATTTTAAATAGGGTCTAATTCAAATAGCGGAAGCTATTATTGCTTCATGTTTTTCTTCCTTCTTAGAAACACCTACTGCCCATCAGTAGTTGAGATTTTTCTCCATTTCACATTTTTATGGACAAGCGTATGTTTCTAAAAACAATTTGCACAATAGATTTCTCTTTTTAAAAATGTGTGAATAATATCAAACTATGTCTTTTGCTACCATCCTGTTCTTCATGTATCTCTGTGCTCTCTTTTTGTCTCTCTGTCTCTGCCTCTCTCCATTCCCATATGTCCATTTTATGAATTTATTTTTATTGTTATAGAGTTCTATACTGAATAGCTATGCCCTGATATTTAGGTTGTTATGTGTTTTAACTTTACTTGCAAAGAATGCTTTCTGTCCCCTTCAACATGAGTGAATTTTTGGAACATGTGTATTAATATGGACCCTCTAGGTCATAAAATCACAAATGAGGCTCATCGTTAAGATGCCCAGGTATTTTCAAAATAGTCACATTAAAGCAGTATCAGCCAAGTGTGAAAAAAATCCCTCTCACCAACCTTGAAAACCCTGACTCTTGCCTTATTTTGTATATGGTATCCAATGAGAGCTCCCTCTTTTTAAAGGTGTGGTGTCTAAATTTTTAGGGTTTTGACACATTTGCATATTTTTAGTTGTTGAACCTCCTTTGCTATAAATCACTTTTTAATATACTATCTGAATATTTTTTGCCTCAGTAATCTTACTTCGTATTGTTTTTCTGGAATTCTTTGCCAGATTAGAAATCAGTACATTTAGTCCCTTTTACATATTCCCAGGTTATAACACAGATTTTAAAATGCTTTATAATATTTTCTCTTAGGTAGAGATGCTCGCTTTTCATGGAGTTTGTTACTCTCCTTTGAGTTTTATGTGTTTAGTGTCTTTGGAAAACATTTTTGCAGCCTGAGTCATTAAAATATTGTAGGGTGGTTTCTTCGAATGGTTTGGTTGATTTTAGTTTTTCTTCTAAATCCAGGTAGTATTTGATGGGCCATATTCCTTTTGTAGTGATGATGAGATCTCTCTAAACTGTCTGTACAGCCTTCTGCACCATTTCCTGATGTGTCTACCCAGACCACACTCTGCAGCAATGAATTTCTATCACATGATACCATCTTCTGTCACATGATACCATCTTCTGTCACATGATGCTTTCTTCTGTTTCTCGTCTCTTTCTTCTATCCCTTCAGTCAGTCTGTCCGTTGGTTCACTGGTTTTGTGGCTGTCAGCTTTTTAATGTTTTCCTATTCAGTAGCACATTTCCCCAGTTTTCTTACTCCCCTTCAGATTTTTATCACCCATTCTTGGCTATCTGCAGTGCAAAGAAAATAAGAACCAGCTTGCCCAGCTTAACAATATGTTCTTTGAGATCTGATAGGTGATCTGCTTTGAATTTACAGCTTCTCTCAAAGCTCATAAACTTGTTTACAGATACTGCATCTTCCCTTCGGTGAGTGAAGTACATCCTTTTTGTCCTTCATAAAGTTATTTCCCTCCACAATGTGCTGTCATGTCGAATGAGAGCCACATTTTATGGACTTAATATTTGAGAACTCTTCGCACTTTTACATGATGCTTGTTAAACAGCGTGTTCGAATTATTCCTTGCTTCTATAAATTGGTGCAGATTACTCTTTGTATATTGCTCTTGTGTTCAGCAGTGCTGGGGAACTCGCCTCTTAATCCATTCTCTGCGGGTAGTCTTGGCTTTTCTCTGGAGATAAGCACACTATCTGTGAATTACGATGATCTTCCCTCTTGCAGGACCAACTTCTCATCTCGTTGGGCTGTTTGGTACATGGCCTTGCTAGCCTTTCCACTCTCAGCTTGTGTGCGGCGTGGGTGTCAGTTGTCCCAGAGCATTATTTATGGGTAGTCTGCAGCTTTCACGAATTTATGACAAGCTGTGCTTTATACGATGTGGTTCATGACATTAATGAAGTTAGCCTCAAACCACACTTTTATGCGAAAGAACAAACATGCCCACAAGTCTCCATCCAAGGAGAGAAAGGTCTCTCTGTTCTGATGACAAAACTTCTGAATTCCTCAGCTGGTTGCTCATATCTGAGAGATGGCCTCTTAGTGGTTTCACCTAAATCTGCTGCTGGTGAACTGAAGTTGTAGTTCTCATTTTATCTTGCTGATATTATTAGACTATTTGTTTCTGGTGAGTCCCTCCTGCCCCCACATCCAAATTCCAGAAAAGGAGGGACCCAGTCTATTCTCTTAAAAAGAGAATCTGCACCACAGGTACCAAAAAATAGTTAGGATTCACGATGAATTAGCCTTACAATTCTGTAGCAGTAGGGCAACTACAGTCTACAGCAGTTATTTTCTTTGCTTTATGAAAAATAAACACAGAGTTTTATAATCAAATAATAAGGGAATGACACAAAATGATTAGAAGATTTTTGAGTGTTTGCAACACAGAGGAATAATACATGATAAAGGAGATGAAAATATTCATTATCCTAATTTGATTGTATATTATAACCAGGGAGCAAATTATCGTATTGTACCCTGTAAATACAAATAGTGTGTGAGCTCTGTTCAGTGACATATTCTGTTCAATTAAAACAGAAGCCCCTGTCCCTAAATTAGTGCCTATTATAGATAGTCAATTCTGGATGAATACTTCCTGAATAAATGAGTAAGTTCAGATACCTGAACTGCCCGCCAAATGCAAAGCTCAATACCTTTTCTAATTAAATGTGCACGTATCTTTAATGAACACAGAGGTGGAAGTTTGCACCAGTAAAAGGCTCCAGCTCAGTTACTTTGCTATTCTGTCGCCCCGTGTGTTCTTTGCAAAACTGTCCCACCATCCAATCGCCAACATCCTTTTCCCATATCAGCTTTTGCCAAATACCATTTTTTTTTTTCATTTTTCTCAGCAGATCTGGACCTTCAGTCTGGCAGGCGACTGAAGTCAGCCCAGAAGGTAAAGGTGGTGTTGTGTGTTCTGCTATAACCTTGAGTGGGGCAGAAATGACCTGCAGAGCAAGCCTCAGTCACCAGCTTCAGCTCTTTTTGAGTTGGGTGTCCGGAGCAGATTGCCCTAGATTCTGTAAGTAGCTGGCACGGTTTCTCTTTTATTCTTTGGTACCGGGGAATCAAACACAGGACTTTGTGCTTGCGGGGCAGGCACGGCACCACTGAGCTCAATCCCCGGCCTTTGGCGTGGTTTCTAAAAGAAGATTCCACCCAGGGACTTTGAAGCATGACTTGTTTTTTTACTCTTTCAATCTCGTTAAATTTATCACCCTGAAAAATGTCTCGCAGCCCGGGCTGAGCCACCCGAGGACCACAGTGAAAGGTCATACCTGTTATTTACATTTCTCCTTTCAAAGTAAAATGGAAAAAAGAATATACATTTACACCAAGGAAAAGGGCTTTGACGTAGGATATCATGAAAAATAATACTGTGCATTGAAGGGAGTCTTAATCAGAGAATGTTCTTTTTTTTTTTTTTTTTCTTTCAGTACCAGAGAACAAACCTCTCGCATGCTAAGCAGGCACTACCTCCCCAGTCCAAAATGTTCATTTTTCTACCATTATCTCTGGGTAGGGTGTATTTCTTCGTTTGGCTCTGTGCAACTACTGAATGTGGGGGGACAAAGCAGAGGGCTGTAGAAGAGCGATCTGACTTCTTTTACTCCCCGGCTTTACGGCTGTGTAGTTGAAAAATACAAATAGAACAGATTTACCTGGTATATCGTAGCCTTGTTACGCACATATGTTGTCATCAAACCATCGCTATAAATCAGCCAATTCACCCTCTGTCACCAGAGATAGTTATCTCGTGTTTGTGGATGTGCGTGGGTGGAAACGTTTAAGATCCGCTCTTGTAACAAATTCCGAGTATGCAACGCAGTACTGCGAATTGTATTCACCGCCGTACGCATTAGGCTCTCACAGGTTATTCGTGGTGTAAATTAAATTGAAACACCCAAACCTCCCACCTCGCAGCCACTGGCCACTGGTCTGAGTTCTGTTTTTGGATTCCACCTCGAAGTGAAATCGAGTAATGTTTATCTTTCTCTATCTGATCTGTGTCACTGAACCGAATGCCGTTGTGGATCGTCTGTGGTGTAGCGCGTGGCCAGAAGTCTCGGTTTTGTAAAGTGCCGGAGTGCCCTGTCGTGACTATAGTATGCTAGTTTCTTCGCCAGGCATGGTGGTGCGTGCCTGCAACCCTGGCACCGTGGGAGGTTGAGGCAGGAGAATTGCAAGTTTGAGGCCAGCCTCTGCAACTGTCTCAAAAATAAAAAATAAATAAATCAATAAAAACTAAAAAGGTTAGGGATACAGCTCAGTGCAAAGGCCCTGAGTTCAGTTCCTAGTACCCCTAAACTCCAAAGAAACACCTTTTTAATCCACTCATCCGTCGACAGACTCTTGTGTTACTGTGAATAATGTGACAACGAACACAAGAGGGCAGATATCTTTTCCACACCCTGATTTAATTCCTTTGTGTATAAACCCACGTGTCTAATCACTGGATTATGGGGTTGTTAGATTTTTGTTCCTGTGGCCCTGAGTTCAGTTCCTAGTACCCCTAAACTCCAAAGAAACACCTTTTTAATCCACTCATCCATCGGCAGACTCTTGTGTTACTGTGAATAATGTGACAACACAAGAGGGCAGATATCTTTTCCACACCCTGATTTAATTCCTTTGTGTATAAATCCACGTGTCTAATCACTGGATTATGGGGTTGTCAGATTTTTGTTCCTGTAGTCAATTTTCTGTTGCTATTTCAGAATACCCAAAGCTGGATATTTTATAAAGAAAAGAGGCTCATTTAGGTTAGCGTTTTGGAGTTAAAAGTATTTGGTGGTTTGAGGATGCACGTTAGCTACATCAGAACATCTCAGAGAGACAGAGGAGGAGGTGGCTGTTTGCAGAATCGGAGGGGAGCATGGCAAATCTATGTTATAATGACTCCCTCTGGTGAGAACTAATTTAATTGCTTAGGGTTCTCTGCTGCAAGAACAGAATCAATAGAACACCTGTGCACGCACACACACACGCACACACACACACACACACCTACATAATTGCAAAAGTGGGCATTGTTAGATCAGCTTGCAAAATCAGAGGTAGGAGACTGAGAACCAGAAATCTCTGTTCTGAGAGCCAGTTTATCCATGAGATGCTTATCCCGGAAGCTGGAAGCCTCAGAACAATTGCAGTTGCGCATACAGCACCCAGTCTGAGTCCATAGCCTCAGAAGCTTTCAAGAGAGTCCCTAGTGTGAGTCTATATTAAAAGGCCTGAAAGGGCCAAGAAGCTGGAGTCTGCAGCTTATAGGAGTTGGCAGGAGCAAAACATGTACCAACTGAAGCAGCACCATGCTTGCCAAATACAGTGCAATTTTGTTCTTCTTGTTCTTTGAGTCCATCTGGGCTGCTAGCCTACTGAATGGTTCCACTCCCAACCAGAGCCCTTCATCCTCTCTCAGCTTGCCAACCTACATGCCAATGGTCCTCGAAAACACCTCCGCAGATGCTCATAAATGTGCTTCCCTCATCTCCTTAGTGTTTCTTAACCCAGCCAAACTGACAGTCAAGATGAAGAAACACAGTAATCGATTCCTCAATACCAAAATCAATCCATTCTTAGGGAAACAACCCAATGACCAGATTTCCTCAACTGGCCTCAGCAAGGAAAGATTTGGTCAGCTCTTTACATTACCCACGGTGAGGTCTAAGCTTTCAGCATATGAACTTTCAGGCAAGAATGCACATCTTTTAATGGCTGTCGCTTGATAAAATCATGACCACCCAGGATAATCTGCGTTTTGATGAATTTCTAAAACAATACATATTGAATTTTAATGAAATATGCTGAAACATTTACTGGTCTAGTCCACACTTGGAAGGAGATAATTAGGTTGTACACACAAAGGGGGCAGAGATCTCGTGGGCCACCCTGGGGTCTGATTGCAAAAGCGTTTCCTTGATGGCAGGCAGGAAGTAGAGGAAGGTGAGAATTCATCTTAACGATCAACTGGATGAATTGAGAAACACCTAGAAAATCAGCACAGCATTCTTTTGGGTGTTGATGTGAGAGGGTGCTTCCCTACACTACGACATGAGGGCCCTTACCTTCTCTCCTTTCTGGCTGCCATGACTTGACTGTCTTTCTCCTCCATGAGCTCCTGCTATCCTGTTTCTGCCTCGAAGCCAGTTAACCATGGACTGAATGCGCTGTCGACACGAACCAAAGTAAACCTCTCCTCGTCATTGCAGCCATGGAAAGATGACCGATACGAAGGAAGAGAAGCAAAGGGCAAGAAACCAGGAATAGGTTGAAGGTCTGGCAGTGACAACCCACTGCGAAGATAAGCACCATCCTGTAAAATGCTCAGAGTTGTTTGTTTCAACGTGAGAAGGAGGTCTGGATACCCCTCACCTGTCGTCGAGGGCCTAAGAGAAGAAACACGTGAAGGCTTGGTCCCCTCCACTTCACCCTGCCTTCATCAGAGAGGCGAGAGCATCCTTCTGCAGAAGCATAAGAGATAAAAGCTACCAGAGATGAAGACAGACGGAGGCCAGCGTGAAGGTCCAGTGTAATACTGACGTTTTCACCTAGTACAGGTGAGGGGATTTCTTTGTTCCTTTTCTGGAAGTAATATGTACTTTGTATGATTATAAAATGAAATAGAGTTGCATGCCTGTATTCATAATTCTTACTTGAAGGATTCTATCCAGTCTGGGTTGAAACACTGGGGAGGGGTAAAATTGAATCTGTGTTGAGCATATCCAGATTATTTTGTCATTATTCCCTAAAAACACACTAAACTAAAATTTCCCGTAGTGTATCTGTTGGATTAGGAATCATACATAATCTAGAGATGATTTAACATACTGTACATGGAAACATTCCCATAAGTTACATAAAAACACTACACCACTTTGAATCGGTCAGCTCTGCTATTGCTGGCACAAAGAACCTGGCACCCGTAACTGAAAGGAAGAGAGGTTCATTTGGGCTCAGAGGTTCAGCGTTCAGACCACGGTGGGCTGGCTCCGAGGCAGGGCAGCATGGTGAAAGGGTGTGGAAGAAGTAAGATCCCATCTCAGCATCAACGAAGCAGAAAGAGAGAGAAGAAAAGCAACAGAGACGAAGGAGGCAGCTCTCAGACCTCATCTCCGAGGTCAGGACCCCATACCCCACCCTCCAGAGCCCCGGGATGCTCTCCCAGCTCCCCAGCTCCTCAAGTCGACACAATCACGCTTAGCCATCACACCTTTAAACTAATGAACTTGAGCATCTACGAATTTTGTTATCTGCAAGAACCAAGGAGCCAGTCCTTCACGGTTACTTAGGACCATCTGTCTAGGACCGGGCACATAGCTCCGCTGTAGGGCACTCGCCTACAGTGCTCAAGGCCCCGGGTTCTATCCCCAGCACCACGAAACACTACCACTACTGCTCCCAGGATGATGGCCACTACTGCTCCTGAAATAAGAGCAACAAGTCCATATTGTCAAGCAAATTTGCCTATGGAGAAACTGGAAAATAAGAAGCTAAAGGTCAGTGCAAAACTATTGCACAGTTCACGTCTCCTCTGTTCTGCTTATGGAGTTTTTCCCTATGCATGCATAGATACTGCCTGCAAAGTGCCCAATTAGAGAGTTGGATATAATTGCATCGGCGCTCAGGGCCCGGGGAGCCATCCATCCTAGCTGTCAGTTCCGGCTCTACACACTGGCGTCTACCATCTATCCTCCTGCAAGCAGTTCATTTCACTGTTTATCGGCACTCCAGTAAATAACCGGTGCTGATATAAATGCTACTGACAGACCGTCTTCACAGTGAGTTGGTGATTTACTGTTCTGGGCACGATCGGCCATATGACTGGCGTCCGTGTAACCATTGCCCTGAACGTAATCTGCATTTTCCTTGGGATTTCGAAGGCAATTGGGAAAGTGAATTGGCAATGTTTTGTTGAACGCCGTCTATGTGCTAACAATAGTTTAGACTAACGAGTGCATAGTTATTTCTTTGGAGTGTCTGCGAGTATCTATTTCATCAGGATAATCACTCGATTATTAAGCT